GGGGGGGGGGCAGTCTTTAGCAATTTTGTGAGCTAGGAAAAGTGTGCTTACCACCCTGTTGGCTATATTTTTAGTTGGCAGGATTCAGAGTAGCTGTGTAATTGTAGTTGATTTAGTGAAATACTCAGCTCCAAGACCCCTCTATCTTAAGACTCTCAGAACTGTTAACTAAATCTGAAGCCTTACCAAATCTATGTGAAGTAGGTAAATGTACCAGTTTTGCAGAAGAGTACATAGAGATCCAGGAAAGGAGCTATTTATGCAGGCTATCAGCACAAAGATGGATGTAAAACATAGGCAGCACAGCTTCATGCTGTACTGCGGGCATCGTGAAAGCTTGGTGTAATTCTTTTACACAGTTTGTGGAATCCTTCTTTTTTTAACAAAAAAAAAAAAAAAACCCATACTTCTCAAATCATTCACTCTAACAGCAGAGCCTTTCCGGTGTTTATTACAAAGTGCCAAATCAATTTGCGATGGTAATGGGAAAAGGAATGGGGCCACAGGTGGCATAAGAGGGAAACTCATCTGTGGAGGGGTCAAATAGAGTTCATAACTATATTTACTGTGCTGCTTGTCTTTTTAATAAAGTTTGGTGCTTATGTATCTGCTTCAGTGGAAAAAAAAAAACCCACAAAGTTTTCAGAAAGGGCAAGGATCACTCAGATTCTCATCTGATACAAAGAGTATTTAAACAAAGAAGGAGGTCTATACAGAAAATTACGTATGGAACTCTGGAAACAACTATAACTCACATTTGATGCTCTGAAACACGCCTTAGACAACCATTATTGTCTCAGGACAGCTGCATTAGTAATTGATGCAAATAGCGAGTTAAGCAGGAGGTTGCTTGCGGTGTCTTTTCATCTGATGCATGGACTGCATGGCATAGTGCCTACTTTCCTGTGCTTAGGGAGGGGGGGGAAAAAGTACTTTTTTTGTTTTCTTCTGCTCATACAGATCCACATCCAGAGAACAGAAGGGTGTGACCACATGACCTGTTCCCAGTGTAACACTAATTTCTGTTACCGTTGTGGGGAGAGATACCGCCAGCTCCGGTTCTTTGGAGATCACACCTCAAACCTCAGTATCTTTGGATGCAAATACCGCTACCTCCCCGAGAGACCACATTTAAGAAGATTAGTGCGAGGCTCTGTCTGTGGTGAGTGGATAAAAGTTCCTTGTAGAGAGCTGCACAATGAGGTGATAGGGTGGGTTGGGGGGCAATAATAGTTAAATAAAAGCTATTGGTTTAAAGTATCAGATGGGTAGCCTGTTGTTTAGTTACGTAAAATGTGGTTTATTAACTATATTTAAATGTATAGCATTTGCACTCCCTGGACTGTGTATGAATAAGTATTGGGTCCTCTTCTGATTGCTTCTGTTTCCTAACCCTTTTTAATAATACATTAGCAAACTGGAAAAATACTGTCAATATGCATGTTGTGGCTGTGATCATTATTCTAAAAGCATGTAGGAGAAATGGATCAGAGCTGGAACCTTTTTCAAACAAACCTCTGTCAGGTGTTTTTTGAATAAAGCGTTGTTTGGATTTGAACCTGACACAGTTTTGAAAAACCAAGCTACTCAGGTTAGCCCCATTTAAATAGGAGGAAACTTATCTCTTAACTGTTAGCTTTGGATCAGATAAAGTCCAGCTTAAAACGAAACATAACTATATATGTTAATTCATCTCACATGAATATAATGCCAAAAGCTTGACTTTTTATTTTTTTGAAAATAAAAAGGCACTCCTAATTTGCTTTTGAACCAGGTGTATACCTGTCTTAACCTACAGAAGCACAAAAAAATAGATAACAAAGATTATTAACTTATGTCATATCTTGCCACAGGCATTAATTTCAGTCATTGTAGTGAGTTTACAGCGTGTAAAGCTATATGTAACATTATAGGAAATTGTATTAAGTGTCAAAAACTGTGGACCTATTAAGGAAAAGAGGATCTTTGGTACTTTGAATTAAGGCGTGGAAATAGAAGGTGACTTGGAATTCACCTAGGATAAGGAAATGCTTTGAGCTTCTCAGTTGGTGATGCTGAATGTAGAGGTAAGAGACTGAACGTGTGGAAATAGCAGTCAGCAGGCGTGTGGTGAAAACAATACTCCTGAGCCAAACAAGTTCCAGTAAGAAATCTAGGTGATTTCCATTTTAGAGTAACACAGACTTGTAGACCTGGTAATAAGAACACCAATCTTTCTAATCTGTAAAGTTGTGGGAGACTGGCAAACCTGAAATGCTTGTTTAACAAACAACAATAAGCCATCCAGGCCTATTAGTTTGACTTCAGGAACTTGCAAGCCTTTAGAACAAAATTTATGAGGGATGAATTAAAGATACAAAAATAAATAGGAAAGTGGATAAAAATTCAAAATGATCGGGTGTGCCTACTCTGATGCATTTGGTAGAGATAAATTCCAACACATGAGAAGATCTAGCCTAGATTAAAGACAATGCTGGCACTAGAGCATATGGGATAAGCTGTTAATGAATAAATTTAAGCTTAAATTCCAAAGGCCATTTCAAAGTAAGGCTTCAGAAAAGTGTTCAGTAAAAGCCACAATGGCAAACCGTTTAAGCTTTTTTAAAATGGGTCTTGGTACGTTTGGTAGAATTAGTGTCTCTAATAGCTAGGTATTGTGCTCAGACATATCACCAATTCTGTGCTGCTCACATGCAGAATGGTGGGTAACGTTATTCCAAGATTAAACCTTCTATGTGGAATTGGTATACAAATATAAAATAAATGTTTGTTATAAAAATATAGATCTGCCAAAAATAACATTAATATTGTCTTAATTTTTTGCAGTGGTTTACATTAAAGGTAACTGAATATGCAGTTGGCACATTTTAATGCCACATACGAAGTCCAAAATTCAGGTGCATGTACTGCATGTGCATAACTACTATTAAAATTCTTTTCTGTTTTCCATGTTTGGTTTTTTTAGGAAACAATAATGCAGAACCTTTTCCTTTTCAAAAGAAACAGCTTTTACTAGTGAGAAAGAAAAATAGTTTCTTTGTATAACAGTGACTTGGAGGCCATAAAGAAATGTGGAAGTACATATATCAGATAAAAGTTCAGTGGTGAAGATGTATATGTTCATATTTATAAAAACACACATAGAGAAGGTGTAAGTTCTTTTGCTTTCATTTCCTGCTTGCAAGTGTACTTGTGTCTTGCTTTAATTAGTAAACCAAGAAAGATAAGTGAAGCTTAAAGCTTCAGCTTAAATTTCTCATAGGGTTTCTGTTAAAAATTTCTCTCCAGGAATATTTGTCATACAGTGATATTTTCCACAGGAATGTTCATCATTTAAATAGAAACAGAGCTAGCTGAACCTGGCAGCACATGTAGTAATTGCCCTCATTTTTACAATAGCTTAACACCCAAGCTGACAATGATTCAAAGAATTCTGCCCTGGTGCCCATGACCCTAAATCCCTCAGTCATCTCTAGAGCTTTGTATTTTAATATTGATCCTGATGTCATCTATGAATAGCTACCAAAACACTCCAGAGCCCTAACAGAATTCATGCTTGAAAATAAAAAAAAAAAAAAAGTTTAAACAATTTACGTCAGGTTACGATTCGTAAATTCAGCTCACTGCCCTTCTTCCATTGGATTAGATTTTGGCTATGATTGGCCTATGTGAGCCAGTCTTGATGTATTTACTCTTTTAAACTTTTCTCCACACAAGCGCACATGTGGGCACACACATGCTTTTTTAAGAAGGCATTATCTTGTTGTAAGGTTGCATCTCCTGACGTTTTTTCTTTTGAGATGGTATTATCCTAAACTGTGATGCAGTGTCAGTTCAGTTTGTGGATTCTGCCATCTTGAATGGTGGAAAATTTGTAAGATCTGCTATCCCTGTAAAACTTGAACAGAATCGGTCTGTTCAAATTGGGTAAATGTAAAATTGAGGGGGATGGGAGTCAAAAAAAAAAAAATCCCAAATTGATTGCCAGGTGTAAAGGTCTGTATAGTGAGTTTGTCTCTAGCACTGGTCAATTAGAAAGGTGATCTCACTCACTGTGTATTTCCAGTAATCATTATTCTAGATGCTTCCTTACTTAAGATTTGTATCTGAGCCTTTGCTTGAGAGCTGTCAATAGCTATCCTTCACCAATTTATACAGTTCTTAAATTATCTATAGTTTTGGCTTACACATTATGTTTGGTAGAGGCTGTAGGATTTCACGATGTAGATTTCACTATGTTGTCTAGAGAAAGTACTTTCATCCTGTTGTGTGTTTGTGTGATTTGGTTTTTTTAATAGATTGCTGATAGTTTCATTGGTTACTTCTTTTATCATAAAATTTAGTAAATAATAATAGCTTGCTTACCCTCTCATATCTTTCTTTTATAGACGCTCCATCAGGTGGTTCTTCATGATATGTGGTATTTTTTTTGTTGCTTCGTTTTGAACTGAAGCTTCCTAGTCATAATCATTCAAGGCCAAGTTGAAAATGGAGAAATGTTTAATTCCAGTTAGGGTTAACACCTAGGCTCAGAGATGTCATGGCAACTAGAACTGTAAATGTAAATACATTACGGCTTTACCAGGCAAGAGTGGACCATTCTCATCAGCAGGTGTTACTGTACGTTCTGAGAGTCAGCAGAAGATGTTAGACAGAGGAGACGGTAGCAGAGACATTGGCCATTAGAAGCGTAGTCTCTGAGTAACATGCAGCAAGAAATAAAGGTTGGATTTCCTATAGTAAAATGCCTCTGGTACTTAGCTAAGCAGTGGAAATTAAGAGGACATTATCTTGGCTGTCAGTGCAAGAGTGGTGAGGTGTTGCTAGATACATTTTCTTCTGGGACTTTTTATTTTATTCTCTTGCTGTGGAGAGAAAACATTTAAGCAAGTGTGGTGATTTTGTAGCGAAGGTTCTTTGGCTTGTTTGTACCAAATCTGGGTGGGTGGAGTGTGTAAAAAGGAAAGAACACTTCATGGCAGGCTGGCATGCTATCATGGTTTCTGTTGAGAAGCAAATGTTTGTGCCTACAATCACAAACTGTTCTGTAATAAAAATAAGGGAAAAGCATTTATGGCACCATAAATTCAAGCATACTTTTTTTCACAAACCAATGGTTTTGCAAAGGTAATAGAAATCACAGGCTGAAGAAAATAAACTGGGAGCAGAAGTGGTCTCTGAATTTGACATTTCTCTCCACTCTTTAGCCAGCGTACTTTCTAGAGGAACTTTGTCTGTGACCAGTACAGTAAGGTGAAATTGCTTTTACCCCTCAGTCCCAGCAGACTTAGAGATTTTATGCTCATAGTAATTATTTGGCAAAGTTCTTGAAGGCAGGATGTTTGGTTATAACAGGAGGTAGTGATGAATTGCACAGAAAGGAAAAACATGTTCAGCTGTCTTAAAGATGCCACTTAAGTACCACCTGAATTCATTTGGGTGAATTATATTCAAAATCAATTGCTAGGTACTTCATGGATATGTGACAGGACACAACATGTAATGATGATATTAAATCAAATGAAGTTTTTCTGCAGGGTAAACAGCATTTCAAATATGATTCTGAAAGCAGCCTGTCTTCAGATCTAACATGCACTTCTGTCCCAAGACTGAGTGCAAGATTCACTTTATGTATGCATGGCTTTGAGCCCTGCAGAAGGAAGCATGTATTTCCATTAGCAACTTTATCATTTAAGTTGGTCTGATTTGTAAGACCTCTTCTATATACACTCGATAGGACTCTTTAAAAACAGATGCAAACTTGTATTAGAGCTTAAATCTGCATTGATGTGACTTTTGATTTTTAAATAGATACTTTTAGTGGTTTTGCTTAAACATATAATGATATTTAGACATGGAAAACAAAACCTTTTATTTCTCGTATGCTAGTGATTAAGTTTATTTCCTAAAATCAGTATAATATATTTTTATATGGCAAAGAATTCTTAAAGGATTTATGGAGTTTTGTATATATTACCCTAAAACCTGCAAGCAAATCCAAAGTTATGCAAGGGAAAAATATTCCCTCATATTTCCCTAAACGTTTCCTCATTTTGCAGAAAACATTATTCTCTATATCACAAGTAATGCAACCCCTCTGAGACACCTGCAAATATGGTTATTAGATTACCAGAGATATCTAAATCTTCATGCTGAGTAACCCAGTAGAGAAATTTTTTGCCATTAATTTGAGTAGAATTGTAAAAAGGTTCCCTTTTTAGGCTTGCTCTATTTACAACTGTTTCTTCTTAAGTTATCCTTAAAAACTGGCTTTGAACATTACCAGACTGGCTATTGTAACCTACTGCTGAGTTCACCACATGGACTAATGACGCAAGACTTTATCTCACTCTGAGGCAAGTTTTACATTTGCTCTCTCTGCCAGCCCTCTTGGAGCTAACAGACGTGGGACAGTGGATCGTTGGGAAGTTTAGGGCCTGCAATAAAGGTCCTCAGTCTCAACAGTGTTTCTTGGGGTGTCACGATTCTCCCTATGATTAAGAGCCTCATAATCCTTCGTGCTATGACAAACGATGTGTGTCAAACTGGCATTAGATATAAAATAATGTTCAATTCAGACATGTAAAATAGAGCATTTTATAATTGTTCCATATAGCACTGATAAAAATGGAGTAAAAGGTACATAGCTGCTGCTTTGCAGTGATTGCTGCTGTTTGTACTCTTACTGTAAGAGTAACCTGTGCAAGTCTTGTTCACATCGTGTTAACTTGTTCCTTAATTTTAGTTTACAAAGGTAAAGAAAGATAAAGGATTTAAATGTAGTAGATATATAAGGAGAAAAGATATTTTGTTTTGGTTTTAAAGTTTAACCTTTACAAAGAATGCGTTGATAACCAAAAGAAGATACTGTCCCACGACAATGAAAGGTCTATTTATCCTATAAGATCTTGGAACTACACAATACTCATAACTTCATATTCACAGTCAGAAGGAAAAAGACACTCAGTCATGCTTTATTTCAGCTCTGAGTTAGTTTGTCAAATGTAAGTAAACAATTTCTTAATCTGAATTAGCTTAGGAACCGTTCTTGTGACTGCAAAGAAGTTACTCCAGTCTAAAGCTAGCTTAGCCCTTTCTGCAGACTCGGTTTCTGTGTACTTAGTCACCAGTTCAGTGGTTTAAGTTTTTAATAATTTTAGTACCAAATGTCATAATTTTCTAACATTCTAATTACATGGTTATTAATATAGAGAGTTCATACATTAAAACAACCTTTTATAAGTTTTACTTCGAAATTGTTAAAGGCTCTGGTAATGTTTTTAAATGTTTTCAATTGCTCATTTTTGGAGTTCTCTTGAGGTTTTCCTTCACTCTATATTTCTTCTCCTCCTAATAATTTTTGACAACTTCTGTGTGTGTAGAATGCAGCACAGTGGAGTCCCAAGAAGGTCTACCATTAGGATGCCTAGCAACTAGAGTAATACCAATATTTGCCAATTTTTTTCTTCTAGGAATTAATGTTTCCCCACCCACAACACTCCTATGAAATTGAAAAGCTATCAAAACAGAGCATGAAAAGGACCAATTCATTAAACTGCTGTAAATATTTCCAAAATATCTCATTTTTCCTTCAGACTGCCCTAATTAGTGGCTCAGGTTATGGAGAGGTTTACATCATTATTGAATGAAGTAATCCATTTACTGAAATCTGATACAAGTGACTTGAGAGAGGGAAGGGCAGGGAAGAGAGAGTTAACAAACTCACTTTTCCTCCCTTTCTAGAGATGATCTTTCAAAGACATGCTTAACTTAGAGAATTGCTTAATTTCAAATCCCTGATCAGACTGCTGGTGTGTCAGTAAAAATGCCTGCCCTGCTGTGTTTCCAAACAGCTGAGACAAGTGGTGTCTTTGATCCAACCACTTGGCCAACACAGACAGGGAGACTCTGCCGTTCAGCTGAAAGCGTGCAACGCAAGAAAGATAGCTTGCATTCAAAGTTCAGGTCCAACTTCAGTGTTTCAGAAGGAGCCCTTCTTTCCCTCTGCATTTCTACAGATCATGAACTCATCAGAAGTAAAGGATATGAGCACACTTTGTTCTTAGTGTTGTGCTCTAGCCGGTGTACTGTGCAACCTCGCTGCCTTAGTCATGTAAGAGCAGCCACATATCCTTTTAAATGTTCATCCAAAATAGACTTGGCTGTGGTTTGATTTAGACCTAAATCACAGCTGTACACAAGGACTTCACCATAGGCTTTTAAAGCCAGCAGAAGCATATTTAGAGGTGATGGTCTCATCACCTTGAGCTAACCTAAACTCTCCAAGATGCTGGTTTGCTTGACATCTTTCCAGGGTGGTTGCTGTGTAGTAGGATTCTGGAGAAGCCAAATGATAGTAGCTTTATAGCTATCACGTTCCTGTCGATGCCCAAGGGATTTCAGGATGGAAACAGAAGTAAATGCAAGCTAACTGTTAATGTACAAAATGAGCTGTGCTCGGAGTTGTGGTGGGTGAAGAGGGCAGAGAGAAATGTGTGGAGGGAGCTGGCTGAGGATTTGTAGGATGAATTTCCATATAGGAATCCTGGTAAAGTATTAAAAAAAAAAAAGGAACCAACTTTTGGGTGTCTGGTATCAAAATATTTACGGTTGGTTGGAAATGGAAAAATAAAATGCCTGCTTTTAATTGTTTAATGCATTTTGCATTTCAGCTGGAAAATTGCTCATTACACCCCTAATACTGGTTCTGGGGCTGGCACTGGGAGCCATAGCTGTTGTAATAGGTAAGAGTTACATATGTGAATGAGTCTTTAATTCTGATTTTGCAGTGACTTTCTGTATGACATGTCAGTATTTTCATCTCAGAGAGGGACACAAAGTATAAATTTCATAAATACCATTTTAGTATGAAGCACATGACTTTTCCTAAAAAAAATTGTCTTTAGAATCTTTTTTTTCTTGCTTGCTTTTATGCCTGTTAGCTTTATTACTTTTTTCCAAATTATTTGGTTTTCTGAACCAAAATCTTTAACTAGTCTAAACTAGTAAAAAGGCCAGAGTAATTTAAATATAGTCCTGGGTGCTGGCTGACTTGGACCCTCCCTTTAATTACCCCAGTGGATCACAATTCTGAGATCTTGGTTGTGTGCATGACAAGATTTTTGGGGCACTAGGCGTAGTCCCAAAAACCTTCCAGCTTGAAGGTACAACAATAACAACAACAAAGCAGCAAACTGGGATGAGTCAGTCTCAAAATCTGATTCAGTGCATAGGCTGCCAGATTGGATTCTATCACAAAAAATAGTACTGTGAACTCGCTTGATAATGTATCAAAGTTCTGTTAATGTGGTTGTACTAATCTGGATGTAGTTGTTCTACATATCTGCTCTTTGACTGGCTTAACTGAATTCTCCTGCAAAATTGAAATAATCTGTAAGGATAAATGTATAATTTTGTTCATGTAAGTGCATATCCACTGTTTGTGTTGGCAGTAATATGCCGGTCGGGATCATGCTGCTTCACAGCTCTTCACCAAACTACTTACTCCACCAAAAATTTGCAGTGTATACCCAGCTGGGATGTGGCACCTTTATAAAGCCAAAATATACCAGGATAGTTACATTAATAAGATTGTACACAACTAATCAGCATATAGCCAAAATATCATTGGAGCTTTTTCTAGACTACATTTGGCTAAAGAATACTGCTATTAATTTTAGTATTTAGGCTAAGAATACATATCTCTTTCCTGTATCAATATTCTGAGTTGGATTCACTGAAGATATAGATATATAGATCTATCTATGTAGATACAGATCTAAAAATTCTTTAGTGGCATTTTTATGCCAAAAATATAGGCAATAAAGACTTCTTAATGCCAGTAAAGCTTATTTTGCTCATCAGTCTGGTATAATCTATGCTGGAAAGAAAACACTCCTTTGCTTATATTAAAAATTAATATACAATAGCAATAATAGCAGTAATACTCAGTAAGCCACTGAAGTCCCACCCTAGGTATGGCCAGATAAGATACGATCAAGAAGAGCAGTATGACCTGTTCCAAAAACATTGATTATTTACAGGAAAGCTGTGGTTTCGAGGTAATTGCAGTAATATTTACTGCCAACACAACTGTTGAAGTAATTTCAGTTATCGTAGCTGAAAACCATTTTACACCATTCACAAGGCTATTGAGCAAAGCGAGGGCCTTGGTCACTGTAGCAGTCTTTTGTTCTATGTTGCTACTGTAGCTGTGTCTGGAAAGGAAGTCTTTCACCATTTCAGTCAGCCGGTGGCAAGGGAAAGGGGAAGGTGCTTCCCACTGGGGTTTGAAGGAGTTCCTCTTATGACAAACTATTTTTCACTTGAATAAATGATTGATTTATTTATTTTTCCTTTTACAGCTTCCTTTCACTTAAAAGACTTAAGAATAAATAGTTCCCTGCCCAGGCAAGGATAAACTTTGGTATTACTTCACAATAGATGAGGATGTTTGTAAAAATAAATACTATTAAAAAAAAAAAATAAAGCTATAACATGCTGCCTTTGTTGCATGTGAAACTGGCTGAAAACTGGCTTAGTTAAATCAGCCTTGGATTTATATCTACGGATTGCCAGAGGGCTTCTAAAAGTTTTAAGTTCGTATATTATACAAGGCAGCATGGATTAATTTATCAGAAATGGGAGTAGGGTGAGCAGGGATTTGTTGTAAAGCAAACAGAAAGTGCAGCTTAACTCATTACCGAAGTGACTGTTGCAGGCTGGTATTTTCTGCTTGTCCCAATGCCTTATCTAAATTCTCAAGACGTGGAAGGCTGCCTCTGAATACTCTATGTACATTGAAAGAACACAGTGCACACACAAAGGATTGCATTTAATTATGGTTTTCTTCTCACTTTCTTCTTTTGGCAGGTTTATTTGTGTTTCCTATCTATTGCCTTTGTAAAAAGCAGAGGAAAAGGTCACGGACAGGTATGCCCTGGTAAGGATGGAGCTTGCTCACCTGAACTGAGCTGGTCCTGCAAGGGCTATACATGCTTTGTGCAACAGAGCAATACAGTGCTGGTAACAGCATCAAAGCCACCGCCCTGGAAGAAGAATGGGGGATCTCCTGCCATCTTCCCTTGGCCGAAAACACTACTGCAGAGCAGAAAGCCTCTTTGCTCTGGTGCACTCTGAACAAGATGGGCCCCCTGACTGCTGCTTTTTAAATGTTTTGGGGTTTGGTTTTTTTAATTGTTACTTTGGAGGGGTTTTTCAAAGTCTAAGTTTCTGAACTAGACAATCAAAGTCTGTATTGTAGCCACAACTCTACTACCGATTTGGCCTGTGAAGAAAGCATTTAACTGCTAACATGTGCTCCATTTAACTTCAGTGTCAGCCTTTAAGGGGGAAATGCTTGGAAGTGTTTGGACTCTTATTGTATACTGAGCATACTACTTTTGGTATTAAAAACTACTTCTGTAAATAACTTCCATCACACAGCATTCTGTTCAGCATACCGAAACCCCGTCACATGCCAGAGCATGACAGCTGGTTATCTTCTGAGTCCTCCTGATAGTGGGCAAGAGTGCAAATTGCCACCGCCAAACTGCAGTGCCTCAGAGGGAAACATCCTTAGCATTGAAGCCCTGCGATACTTAAAAAATATGCTGATTGGTTTCACTTTGGTATTTGATATATGTCAGTCTATTAATATTGATTGGGGGGGTGACAGATTTGTTAGAGTACAGCATTTTGAAACTTTCCCAGTACAGAAAAAAATTTGAATGGTTCATATACAAGACGTATCAATGGCCTGTTCTGTCCCAAGATATCCCTGAAGTGTGATGCAGAAGGTACCAGGAAATGTGTTTGCAGGGAAGCTGGAAACCTGCTCTTCTGTTCTGACTTGGTGTATAATGCACATGCTACACGCCAGTTGTGTGAAGATTGAGTCGATGAAATTTTATAACCCAAGTAGCATATCGTATTTGTACATTTGTTCATTTTAAGTGGGCTACATAAGTCTTAGAGCATCTGCTGATGTCTCATGAGGAAAATCTGTGAATTTTAGGTAAGGGGATGGGCCGTGAATTCTTAGGAGACCATTTTGTTCTTATTCTCTGCTTCCAGTGTTTTTCCTCCTGGCACATCACAGATCTGAAGAGAATAGCCATCCTTTTTTCCTAACTTCAGAGTACCATGTTTGCTGCCAGACCTCTTTCTCAGCATATCACCACAAGAGCAATGTAATTCAGCGTTAGGAATCAGCTACTAATAATTTTTTCACTTTTAGTTATAATCCAAATTTCTCTTAGAAATATAACTTAAAAGAATAAAATAAATTTCTGTAAGCAGAACACTGAATAAAGAAAGGACCTGAATAAGAAATATCTACTTTATACTTTAAAATTACAAGCTGATCTTAAAGAAAAGAAGATTGGATTTGTACTGTGAAGGTACTTTTTTTAGTGTGTGTTTGAAGATACGAGTGTATGTGTGTGTATATATATGGGGAGTGGGGGAAGCAGGGAGATGGGCAAAGTCCGCTTCAAAATTTAGGCCTGCAAATCGCATATCATTTGAGAGGATGTACTTTGCACAGCTTTCTTTGAAAAATGTTATTAAATGTGAATCTAGTTGTAATTTTTAAGTAAATAGTATTCTGCCCCACCAACCTAATACTGTTATAAGATACTCACTTTGACTTCAACGCCTCAGTGGAAGAAATGGATGAATTTTGTTTGTCTGGAAACACAAATATCAGCTTATGGTAGTTGGCTAGTATGCTTGTTTTCTGACAGCTTCTGGTTTTGTTTTCTTGAGGTTTTTTCTTGTTGAAACGGTGTGTACAAGCACACCGTAGTAGTCAACGAGTACTTATATTTCCATTTGAATTTAAGGGCATGTTGACCCTGTTGTCCTAATTGCAAATTAAGCAGGGAAGCAATGACATTTAGAAGTAAAGTTCAAAGCATATTGTCAATGCAAATCCACCCGTTAATTAGATTTCTTCTTCTGTGACACATCAGTTTTCTATTTGTGTTCTGTCTGAAGTTGGAAGCTGCCTTAAAATCGGTCTTGTTTGTGAGTGTGTTTTCTGAGGCTATACATATCAGTTGTCTTTGGCTTACTCAGGGATTTTTATTCCTTTCTTTAAGTGTCAAATAATTAAGATATTTTTGTATTATTTAGAAAAACCTTCAGACCTCAGAGAGTGAGAGAGATATATAGATAGATAGGTTTGGGTTTGCAATGCAGTCTGTAATACAGTGTCAAACTACTCCACTTGAGAATATTTTAGTACTTGAGATTATCTGTAATTAACTATACAGTGGATTAATTTCCTTTCTTTTCCTGGTTCTTTGTAAATATGTGAGATATTCTTAAAGTCTTTGTAGCTGTTTTCACTCTGCCGTGTTTGCCATTTTCAGTTTCTGATGGGAGTTCACGAAGATCTGAAATTACGATGCTAGAATGAAGAGCGTAAAAGGGAAGATAGTAGATCTGCGCTTATTTATATTCAGAAGGCATACCATTGTGGGTGGAGGAAAGGAACACACGTTTCAGCTTCTACATTATCATTTCATGTAGGCCATTTTGATTTTATCGGAACAGATTAAGTCAAAGGGAAATGGTTCTTCATTTTCTACACATAGCAAAATGAGGCATCTTTGACCTTGTAAAGATGAGTCTAATCTTGCTTTCTCTGTAGAAAAGAAAGTAGCTGTGACAATAATATTTGCATTTGCTTTTCTGTAGAACAAGAAAAAATTTCAAGAGCCAGGCAGAGTAGGGATATGGAAGTCTTTTCTCCATCCCTATAAAAATAATCCCACTTCAATAGTACATCAATACATTTTTTTATCAATATGATCTAACATAACCAACTGAAATATGAAAAGTAGTTTAGTACAAAACTTCATTCAATAAAATGTTAGCTTTTAAGCAGCTCTTCTCGTATCATAGGAAATCTTACATACATCAAGGTCGTCATTTTTTTTTTTACAAGCATTAACTTTTCAGTTTGAAATAAATGGAATGAACTTTGTAAGGAAACTCAAGGATGTTTTTCATTCATTATGTAAATGTGTTTTGATTTTTGTAACTGTACTCTCTAAAGAAACCACCAGACTCTTCTACTCCATTTTTACTAGCAGAAAACTTCATCAGGCAGCTGAATTAACCTGCTAAGGCAGATTCCATGCTAATGCGTGCTGATCATTGGGATTGCTTTCACCACATTTAATATTTAAGGTTATTTATCCTTGTGTGAAGTTCTTCCTTGCTGGTGACTGTGTTCAGACTAGGAAATGCTTAAAGCCGTTCTACACTGTCCTTCTATTTCTTGCTTGCCTGGAAATGGATTTGCCCAGGGGCTCGGGCCTCCTTGCAGGCGTGCAGTTGGGGCTGTTGCCCACCCCGCAGGACCGTGCTGTGTGTGCCCAGTCCTGCTCCTGCTGGCGAGAGCTGGCTGGACATGCCCTTCGGGAGGCGGCCGCTTTCCATCTCTCCACTGAGTCATTAGTTGTATTTCATTAATTGGGTCAAGTTTCAGGGCTGTTCACCTAAGCTAGTGGCAGGATGAGCCTGACTGCTGCAGTCTCTCAGAGCATAGTTAGGTATATTTGCAGAGCTTATCCAGGACCTTGCAACTGGAGAATAATTGTGCTTTTCCTGGTATCAATCTATTCGCCAGTGAGGAGGAGAAACTGAGTAAGAATACAAGCGAGAGGCAGAAGTGCAATTCTGAGTAGGCTCATGCTCTAATTGACCCAATGCTTTTAGTTCCATACGAAAAAGTCTGCTGGTCTTCAGTTCTTGCCCCCTCTATAATAAATAGCACATTCATATCTTTCAAATGTCATTAAAATACAGCGCACTTTGAGTGATCTATTATCTTCCTTTGGGGCAGTGCAAATGTGTGAGTAAGGACAGATTTTGATGTTACTAATGCTGACTTGGTAACCCTTCCTCATATGTTAGGGTTGGGATTTTTTATATATATTTACATCTTTTTATTGGCTCTGAAAGTTTGATCAACGTTGAGGTTTTACTTTATTAAAAATGTTAATCCACAGGGACTATTGCCAATTTGACTTGAAGATGTTTTGGATCACCATCAGGTATTCCTTTTAGCCAAGGGGCTTTCTGTTCTTCCAAAGCCTGCCATAGCTTGTGTGGTGTTAAGTGGTGTGTAGGTAGGGCAGTGGTTCTGTCAAGAGGATACACATTCTCCAGTGATTGAACGGTTTCTCATGCCAGTTAGAGCTGAGAAACTGTTTAATATTCAATGGCCAAATCGTTTGCCATGCAGACTCTGAGTTTTTTTAGAACTTAGTTGTGGTGTTTTGTTTCTTGAGCAAATCTTGCATCATTCATAATGCTTGGTATGATAATTGTGTAGCTCCAAGTTGTGGATAAGAACCATGGATTACTGTTACTTTTATAATCTATATTAGATATCTGATACTGAGTATGGAAAGAATCCTACCTGAGGAAACTATTAGAGAAATAATTTCTTAGTTTCTTCTAGTTTTACAGCCTTATAGTTGCAGTGGGTTAGCTCCATTCCTGACATCAGTCATAGCCCCATTAAACCAGAGAAGTCGTACCCATTTTTATGCCAGCATGGAATTTGGCCCCAAATACTTTGACAAAAATATCTGGAAGCATGTTGATAGCCAGTGTGCAGCAGCTTGAAAATCTGGTTCACTTTTTCAGAAGTGCAAACTACTGTGGAGCCAGTTCCCGCTCACAGGGGTGTTTTTTAAAAGTTATGTTGCTGATCTATTTGATGGCTTGTCTTGCTCCTGTTAGATGAAACACTAGCTGAGCCTTCATTCAACTGCAAGACTAGCAGTGTTTTCATTTAAGTACTGCTCAGGCTGTAACACAACACCCCCAAATTTTTTTCTAAATAAAACTAACAAATGCAGCTTGCTGCTGTTACACAGGACGGTAGCTTCTGGGCTGATTCTTCCTTATCATTCTGTGCATAAGGGCTTAGGATTTATGCGTTCTCTCTCCAGTAAGGAATGGAGTGCTCGTCATATTAGGCAGTTAATCACTGATGCTCCTCTTGGCTTGACGGTGAAATACTGTAAGGTGGGGAAATAAAAACTGGTTTTGGAATGCATGCTCTGATTTCAAAGGTAAAAATGTGTAATAAGCTTTAATTACTTACTCCCTAGTAAGAAATAAATACATAAACTTCTAAGCATAATTCCAGCTGCTTATGTCTAAATATATCTGTTTAAAAAAAAAAGTAGTTATAATAGCAATTAGTTTGTTCAAAAATGCATATTGTGCAAAAGAAAACAGTTTTGGAGCTTATTTGGCTTACCAAAACTTGAAAAATTAATCTGAAATGTTTTGGACGGATCAGAGTCAGAAGAGGAGAATTTTATTGTGTGAAAATATTTTATATTCTTCGCATAAACAGGGACTTTTGCACATACCTGCTTAAACACGGTTGCATGCTAATCCCATTCAGTGTTCATCTTGTTGAAAACTTGTCAGACTGAAAACATTATTGTTGAAATTTTAACCTGCTGTCACTGAGCATGATGTTACTAATACAGTGCCACATTTACCTCATTTTTAGAAGGAAAATCTACTTACAGAATCCAAACGAGCTGTTCAGCTATTTTAAACCTGTCCTGTAAAAGTGCTGATGCAGTCAAGAAACATTTTCATGCCTTATGTAAGCTTTGGGTAAGCAGATGGATTCAGTCTTTAGTCATGGACTATATTTTTACATAAAAAAATGCTCTCTTAAGAGTTCTTCATAATCAATTTTACATTCTGCTGCTCTATGTCCAGAAATTGCAAAGACAGGGTTAGATTTACATTTCACTGTGTTTACCTTCTCATAATAAAATGTTTACCATATTTCCATTTGTTATACACTTTTATTTCCAATGCTCTCCTTTCCCTTCCAGATTTCATCATTTGAAACTGACTTGTGAAATTGGACCTGGAAATTGCGGTCCCATAAGAAGTCATTTCAGTAATGCTTTGCTGAGTATCCCAGCGAAAGATAATTTGTTGTCTTTAAATTACTTAAAAGCAAAATGCTGAAATTGAGGGTTCTTCAGGGCTTTTAATTTTGCATGTTTTAGAATTTAAACACTACAGTCGTCTTCGTTGCATAACTAACCACCTGAGTCCAAATAACTTTTTAAGGTATTTATTAATTCTTTTGATTATGGTAGAGATGAGAATAATAGGTGCTGAGGGGAAAAAAAAAAAAAAAAGCATGATCTCTGTTTCTTAGGAGGTTGTCCAAGCTGAATTTCTTAAGTCTGTGACAATTCAATGAGAAATCTTCCCCTGGCCCCATCTCTTTTCTTTTTATATATTTGATGAGGAATTTCCTTTATTCTCTTATATATAGATGAAGAATTGCCTTTAAAATTTGAATGGCAGGAGGTGAGGGTAGTGAGATGATAGATCCCATCCTATTTAGGGTACAGGCTTCTGGCACAACTAGAATGCTGGCCAAAACATCGTGGATTCATTAAGAAAGCAATTTCTAACTCCACATTTGGGCTAT